TATTAAATTTGATAAGATAATTGCCAAGATATTTAAGCCTAAAGTCAAAAAAACTTTTACTTAGAAAAAATTTGTTCTTTTTCTATTGACTCACCCCCAAATACACACTCTGATTACTTTATTTAGCAAAAAGTTAGATATGCATTTATCATTAAGTATACTATATATTTTATATTTGCTCTAATATATTTACATAATATAAGTTATATATTAAGTGTGATTATATAGAGTAAATTTTATATAATCATATTTATTTATAGTCACAGTTTTGTACGATACAAACTGGGTAATTGTAGACTGTATTCTTATTTTTGCTTGTTGGAATCACACATACAGTATCTTTATTACAATATATACTTTTGTTTTATTACATGATCTTATGAACATCCATGTTCACAAGATCAGTTATAAAGTTAATAGCAATCAGTAATTTAATATTATAGTAAACTATTATAGATATTTTTTAGATTTGGTTTTTTAGATATCACTTACTATTGAAAGCATGTACTCTAAAGTTACTGCTAAAGTAACTACTTCTGGTACTAAGTTAAAGCTCAATTAATTTTTAAAAAATTTTAAATTTAGAATATAGTTGGCATTAGTTTATAGATTCAAAAATTTTTATTGGTGCAAATACAAAAAAAGGTACACAAAAACAAAATTTATATGCATGCTATATATAATCAGATCCTTCAAAAATAATTTATATTTCTTGATTAGTACTTATAAGCATTCCGAATTAACATATATTCTAATGTAAAATATAATTTATTATACGATAAAAACCAGGAAATAAAAATTTAACCAATCATAAATTTTATTTTCTGATTTTCACTCTCATATACTCAAATATAATCGACACTCCATTAAAAATGCAGTTTCTTCAAAAATCTTATATAGTATATACAGATTACATGCAATATGGATAGTATCATATTAAATCTAGATGCTGCACAAAAAATACATAGCAAAATCTTAACTTTGAATGTTTAAGAGTAACAATTAAAATATTAGGCCAGAAATACTTATAATTTTACTAATGAAATCACAACCACCTATTAAGTGAAATTGTTTTCAGCCAAATTTATCATAATGTGAGCTTATTTTTTAAAAATTTCTATTTTTGTAATAAAAAAATTAAAAAGTTAATTTTGGCTAAAAATTAGTAAACAATTATGTAATATAGGCCAAAATTTTAAAAATTCTTGACTATTAGCCAATTAAAATTAAGAATTTGCTGCATATTTTTTGTGTAGTATCTAGATAAGATTGTAAAATTATAGTAATTTTACATAATTTCATATAATTTTGTATAAGTTTACAGTTTCATGTAATTTGTAATTTACATAATTTTTACTTTCTGAAATTAAAATTTTCAGTGATTAAAGAGTTACAAATTAAATAAATCAAATTATGCAATAATGCTGACTGAGCTTTTGTAAAGCTAGTACAATATAACGTATTATATAAGTTATATAAATTTTGATTACTGAAAATTATGTAAAATTACATATATTGTAAGATTGTAAAATATAATTTTCAACTCTACATCTAGATTTAATATTGAATTATAAATCTGCAAGTTTTTTAATTTTTTGTATCCAATAAAAAACTATGCAAAAATTATTATTAAAAATCAAATTTTTTGGTCTACCAAAAATTTGAAATAGTAGTATAGATATTATTTCGAAAATTTACAATAAATATGTTAATACAGGCTAAATATTATATTAATGCTAGCTAGATAATATATTATTTGGGATCATATTAAAATCTTGCATATCATCACATGCCCATCTCTACACTTATCTATAAATGCATTTCACATACACTTTTTATATAATAATAATTTGATCAATCTAATGTATTAAGCATTTATTCAAATAATATATAGTTATTTGGCAAGTACTATCATAGTAAGCTGCCATGCCAGATAACTGTCAGATATCCAAATCTAATTTATTTGAATATCTATTTACTATTGATATTTGAATAGTTATCTGTATACTTGTTAGATTATCCAGATATATAAGTAATTCAAATTATCTGGATAATTAGATACAGATAAATGGATAATAGATTTATTTGAATTAGAACTCTTAATTATTTAATCTTATTGTTAAATATAGAATATGCTTTATAAATACTATAAATATATCTTTATCCAAAAACATGCTGTTGTGAAAGAAAGGCTAAATTAGAGTTTGGAACTGATTTTATTTTTTATATGTTAAAACTAGTTTTAATTGGTTTTAACATATGAAAAATAAAACCAGTTCCAAACTCTAGGCTAAATATATTAGATTTAGAAAGTCTACTCTTATTTCAAAATAACATGCAGGTCAATTAATTAACATAGGTGGGCTTTTATACCATATCTAATTGGCAAAAGAAGAATTTGGAAAATGATTGTAACTAGGTAGATAGAAACTATTTAAGGTCTAAAGAACTTATCATGGATCAGTTTGACAATAAATATTTTCAGAGCAAAATATTTGTTTTTATCAATCAACCAATCAAAACTCTTAACTTGTGAATACACACAACCAGGTCACTATGACTCTCCTGTAATGTCCTTCAGACAATTATCTGTTATCTAAAACATATAAACTATTTCATACAAAAACTTTTAATTTTTTGTATTTGATTAGCTAGTGAAAATTTTTAGAGTAGTAACATTATACAGGATACTACATCACTCATAACAACTATCTCATGGCAAGATAACCTCAAGTAGTACAACCTCTGAAATTCATATCAATATTAAATAAATTTTGTTTACACAGGTAAGAGCTTAGAAGTTAAGCCTTTAAATAGACAACTATGCTACTACCTGGCCCTATCTAATCTATAAAGAGGCTTAGTTATAAATATTAGTTCAAATAATAGTTGTATAATGTCAAATAACAGATCGAATGACTGATTGAATGGCTGATTGAATGGCTGATTGAATGACATAATTTGACATATTGAATGGTAGTCGAATTGAATATCGAATGTCATGTTGAATGTCATGTCAAATGGCATGTCGAATTTTTAAAATTTACCAGTGATACCAATAGATATAATAACAAATTAGTACCTATTTCCAACCTCAACCCAGCACAGTATAAGAAGTCTCAGCACAGAACTTCACCATCACGTAACCAACCAATATATAAAAACAATGAATCCCCAGTTGACAAGAAATAAACAAATTTGTCTCTATCAAATACGCAGTGCATATTAACTATCTCTGCACCAACAGTGCATATAGCCAAATCAATCGTAATACAGAATATACAAATTACTTACTCACGATGGTTAACTCATTTCATATTACATAACTCTCCACCTAGTATAATAGACTACATAGGCTAGTAAAGGTCCTGACCTTTCTTTAGCTAAAGCTTAGGTCGAGGGTAAATTAGTATTACACTATATCCCTAACCCCAACCCGTAGATTAGTTATAAGAAATATATACTATTATGTAATGTTGTAATATATTTAAACTAATAAAGGATATGAGGAAGGATCTCGCTTTCAAAAAAAAAAAAAATCTATATCTTTTAAATAAAAAAAAGATTGCGATGATGTAAAATTATAAAAGACTTTCTCTTTCGCCTTTGCAGAAGAACTAGTGTATCATAAAAATATTAATTTATCCGGCAGGTACTATGTAAACACTGCCGGAAAAAATTTCATTATTTCCACAAATTCTTATTAATTTTAATATAAAAATCTGCGGAAATAATATAAATTCTTTCCGTAAGTGATACGTCATACCTGCCAGATAACAAGAAAAAATTAGTTAGCAAATCACCATCATCACATCTCTGGTGAGTTGCCTTATTGTGTTAATTCTTTATTTTAATATATTAATTATATCCGTAACAAGATATTACTCCTGTTTGTATGTTTTTTATTTTACCTCTTTTAATAGTCTTTTAATATAAGGTTGAGAATCAGAAATATATAACAGCTGGAATGATGGAGTCGTAATGAAAATGACGCTCGGGAAAATGATTTCTTCGAGTTTTCATTTGGTAATCGTACGTTTTGCAATTGCTTGTCCTACGTATTATTGAAGTGTTACAATTTATCGGAAAAGGAGTTATTTTCGCGTAACATAACATAACACAACAACAGATTGGCTGCGGCAAAGCAAGACTATATACAATATGATTCAACTTCTTTCGGAATTTAAACTCCCATTGGATAATCATTATGCGTATATGTATATATAAATAATAAAATTTTTTGCGATCGAGATCATAAAATTGACAAAATGTCGATATCTACGCTTCAAGATTTTGAAAATTTTATAGAAATCTTTCCCAATATATATAGAGCCACATTTAATCTTCAATTCGGACCCTTACATTGGCCAGTTTCTATATTTCTCATTAACGTTGAGCCATCCAACAACATTTGGATTTTAATAGACACCGCAGATCCTGATAACATTTCAAAATTTTTCACAGCTCTAACTCAACATTTTTTAAAATTCCCGAATTATCAACTTAAATATATTTTATTAACGCATGATCATTTTGATCATACCGGATCTATCTTAAGATTACTAGATGAATATAAAGATATAAAACTTGTCTTAGGTGAACCAGAATCTTTTCATACAAATAATAAAAATGTTAATGGTAATACTCATACACAACAGTTAGCAACTGTTGAAGGAAAAATAACGGTTGATAAAAATAGAATTGTTATGATAAAGAGAGAGAAAGAAGAGGAATTCGAATTTTTCAATGTTTTAAAACCTATCTTTATCGCTGATCATACTTTAGGTGAGTTAAAAGTCTACAGTATCTAAAAAAAAAAAATCGAATTTAATCATTAACTCAAATTTATTTGAAATTTTCATAGAATTTGTTTCCAATAACATAGGATCAATATCTTACCTTCATATTCCGACAAATTGTATAATGGTTGGAGATAGTTTAATGAATCTTTCAACCTCTCAATGTTCCGAGCCGGTGATCTCTTTACCATTTACATCCACCCCTTCTCATTTAAATAGTGTTAAAGAGTCTATTAAGAATATCGCAAGGTTAGATGTTAAGATCGTATTTCCTGCACACGATCATAGTCAAAAAGGTCTTAGCATAAATGACGTCAGAGCATTTGCCAATACATTGAAGACATGATAAACTAGAAAAGAATTTCGAAAGAATTTATTAAATAAAATAAAAATAAAAATTTTCTTGATTATAATAACATTATTTATTAGAAATCAATATATATATATATATATTATGTATACAAAGTCTTAACATAATTATTAATTAATTATATATAATTATAAATTTTATAATAATATTTTATAAACGGAATATATGAGAATTATTATTAAATCTTACAATAATTTTTTATAAACGGAATATTTGACAATTGTTATAAATCTTACAAGGATTTTTTGTAAGCGGAATATTTGAGAATTTCTTCACAATCAATGTTATCACGAATATACATCCTTATCACTACACAATCAGGACTCTTAACTTTCCTAATATCACAGGATAATTTTGATAAAGAAGCAGTAATGAATGCGCTAATTTCTTCCTTAAAATAAATCGACAAGGTATACCCGCAGGCTTCAAAAGGTTTTAGTTTTTTGTAAGCACTATCAATAAAAGGATTGACGACGAACATAGTAGGACGATTTTCTTCACTTGATATGGAATAGTCATAAAATTTAATATTCATATAAGTTCTAAAAGCGAACTTTATATCAAAAGAACATTCTAACAGGGCATTCATGAATCCATCAAGTCTTTTAGCCAGCATTTGACTCGTGGGCAAAGCGATCGGAATTTCAAAAGGAATTTGAAAATAGTCAAATTCTTTAAGTAGTTCACATCTCGATACGCATGTTAGGTTTGAATCATTTTCCGAAAAGTCTTCATTTGGCCATATGACTTCACCATTACGATAATATTCCAAAATGTAACGAAATGCATGCCCATTTCTATCAATAAAATATTCATTTCCATTATTTGCATGAACTATTGTTCGATTTCTATCTTGAAACATTGTGCCAAGTAACGTATCTGGATAAGTCGTTAGTGTTGACCGGTACGTTTCATACTATAAATTTAGATTTTTTTTTTTTTTTTTTTAAAAAAAAAAAATAATCAGTTATCAGTTATCAATAAACGAATGTACAAGCAACACACTGTTAACTTTGGTAAAGTTGCAGATCATGAAAACAGTTTATATCAAAAGTTAGTTAACTACCTTGACACCTCCAACATTTAAAACAATCCTTTCGTCGCGGATTAATGTCATTGTAGGGATGAGTTAATTTGAAATTGGTAAACATTCCATTTTATCGTTATCAATATAAATCAGTTTATAGTAATTTATAGTCGATTTATGGAAAGGCATGTGAACATGTGGACAAATACCCGATACTAATATATTTATAATGGTCGGAGTGACAAAATTGTTTAAAAATTCTCAGAATGTAAAAATTATTACGACATTCAAAATATAGAAAAATATGTAACATGATCTCATCATAACAAAACAACAAAACTAGATTAATAAGAAATCGACCTTTCAATGTCGGACTTTTATTAAACTCACGTAACCATATAAATAAAAGTCTTTAACCAAATAAAGATTACATTGTTGCTTATTTTCTGTTTTTTTTTTTTTTTTGCTTTATACGTACGTAAGTACAGTACGTACAAAAATTTTCTTTTATTTTAAAAATGTCTGATTACAGTAATTGGGGTGACACGCATGTCGAAAGTCGGTGTGATCCACGAACTGCTAATGAAGGTTGGGGAGAAACACAGACAAATGAAGGATGGGGAGCGTTACAAGCGGACGAAATAGATGCTTTTAATAGTTGGATGGATAATAATGAGCAAAGTTGGAATGAAACGATAACACAAAACTCTGAGATTCGAGAACGAACAGAGTTAGTAGCAACACAAAGTTCTCAGAAAAGTGTAGAACGATCTTTTATAAGTAACGATCAACAGAGAACAAAATTACAAAATAACTTTCGAAATCAGTACAAAAAACCGAAATCACATGATAATTACCAAAATCAAGAACCGTATGAAACGGAAACGCAAGAAACAAAACCTAAAGTTTTTAACTCCAACTATGAACACCCTCAAATTGTTACTCCAGAAACGCAAGTATTTGATAAAAGGTTATCACCTTCAACGCTACCGCCGATCGTTGAAGAATGGGAATACTCTAATACAAGATGGGAAGATGATGTTACTTCTTCATTTGACGATACTGTTGTTAAACCAATTACCGTTCAACTCTCCCAAGCGCAAATTTCGCCGCAAACATCGGAGCCACCGAAAAACGATTCACAAGTTAATGATATATCTAACGTAGAAAATGTGGAAAAACGCAAAGATGTTGGTAAAAATTTATATACTCAATGTATTGATCTCGTAGCTAAAAGAATAAAAGCGTTGAATAAACGATTGGTAAGTATTTCTTATTCTTAACTTCTCTATTCTTATAGTTATATATACCATCAAAATTAAACCTTTCTACTTCTTAATAGGCAAAGATCGAGAAATCCGAAGAATTTTTACAAGAAGATCCTAAAAATAGATCTAAGCTTAACAACGATCAACTTCAATCAATCGAAAATAAAGAACAAGTTATTGGCGCAATTAAAGAACTTGAAGAAATTTATAAAAAGATAGTTAACATTGAAGTTGAGGTACAATAAGAATTTCTTTTTTTAAGTATATATACTTTAATGATATAAATTAAGATCTTAAATGTTCAATTATTCTGTTCTTATTTCTGTATTTAGGGGAAAAAGAATAAAAAGAGTAAAGCTGATTGAGATTAAATTAAAGACGTCTTGGATGATGAAAATCTTTAGACTTACACATTTAATTTCTCAACTTTATGAATCTTAAAGTGTTATTGTATCAATCTTTATATCGTGTATTTTTTAAAGATATAAATTGAATCAGATCTGAACACAGACAAGTTATTCTAATAAAAAAAATCTGCAATACCGATACAGTATGCAGTCTAGATCACGTATTTCAGTATTTGTAAAATTCGATCTTAATGCAAAAATATATTGATATCGAATTATTTAGTGCCAGTTTCTAAAACAAGTCGTAAGATTTCATTTACATAACTTATTAGATAGATATTACGCGTCAAATTTTTTGGGATTTTTTTATAAATTGCACAGCAATTTTGCCTAACTTTATTATTATATTTATATATATAATATAATATTACATATTTAATGTGTGTAGAATTTTTTTTTTTTTTTTTAACGTAAACGTAAATATACTTTTTGAAATATTGAAAATGCCTTTTATGTCGCCATTTCCAGTTATCTTTCTAAAGTTCCTAATGTTAGATTACAATCTATTTAATGTTAAAATCATAATGATAAGAAATTAAAACTACATATATATATAACGATAAAAGAATGTTAAAATGGTAAACGAGATCCCGCTCCCGTTAAACAAGCCTTTTACGTTAGAAATATTAATTTTTTTTTTTACTTTTTTTTTTTATATATATATATATATATATATATATAAAAAAAAAAATTTAAAAAAAATACAATAATAATAATAAAGATAGTAATAATAACAATAATTATATAATAAAGGAAAGAAATAATAACGATAATTTTATTCAAAAAAATTATATATTAATTTGTGTGACTCGTCCACTAATGGGTTCAAGTTTTGTAGGATAAAGTACCTGTAGTATTGATGGTTGGCCGTAGAAACTTATCGTATTCTCATCTGAGTAATTATAATTATTATAAATTATCTGATCCTGATTTTCTGTTTCATTGTATTCTTGTTGATACCCATCTTCTAAATATGCATCTTCTTGATATTCATTTTGGTTATCTTGATACATTGAATTTGTTTGAGGTTGTTCATAAGCTTCTTCTGAATTATCATAATATTGTTCTTCATTCAAGTATCCTTGAGTATATTCTGTTGCTGTCTCATGATGATATTCTTTGTACGTCATTCCTCCCATTTCATTTTCTACAGCGTATTCTGCTTGTACCGTATGTGAGGTTTGCGTCATGTTTTGCCACTTTATTGGATCATTCAAATTTCTTTTCGTTATCTTAGTAGCACTTTTTTGTCTTCCAAACTTGTAATTTGTGAATAAATTCATATCATCATCAGTTCTAGCTCGATTAAATTGTGCCAAAGAAGCTGGAGGTGGTGGTAATACACTTGATGCACCACTAATTCCGCTTATTTTACTAACTTTGCTTACAGGTCTTGATTTTCCTTTTCCTCTAATCCATGGAATACTAAATGTGCTTATAGCGCTCATCTTTCTTCTCCTAGATGTTCTTGCAACTTGTTGTTCAGAGAATACTTGTGCTTTATCTTCAATCATAACCCATTCGCATTCATGTACTAATCCTTTTCTTGGTTCAATGAAAACCCAATCACCCCACCGATCAGCTTGATCACTTGCCGTAGTTTCCATCCAAACGTAAGGAAAGATTTCATCAACAGTTTCAATTGATAAATGAGTAGTTATAGGTAAATCTTCACTACTAATAATATCCCAATCATCCCAATCTTCTTTATCATCATCAGAAAATACATTTTCTGAATTATTTTCTGAAACAAAAGAATGTGAATCAATAGAACGAGTTTTTGATTTTTTTAATGAACGGAATTTAACTAATTTCTTTCTGCCTTTTATGCTATCTCTAATAGATTTTCTTCCCGAAATTACCGAACTTTGTACAGAACTCCTTGTCATATTTTCTTCATCAATATCAAATGATATATTAGAACCTTTTTTATTAATATCAGATATAGATTCTCTTATTGATGGAGGTTTAACATCCGTTAAATCATCACGGGAATCTCTAAATCCACTCTCGGAGAAATTATCCCAAACCAGAGAGTCTCTAACAGAAATTCCAGAATCATTTCTCAACATTTTCATTCCATCAATAGAATTATCATCTTGAGGAATTGTTTCTGGATCTAATAAAGTTGGATCTAATGATTGATTTAAAGTTTGATCTAATGAAATTTGATCAGATGTTTGATCTGATGTCATAGTGTCATCAATAACAATTTTAGGTAAATCCAAATGAAAACTCTTGAAACCTTTTCTAGAAAAATCGTTGAACATTAAATCATAAGTAGAATTTATCGGACCAGCTCGAGCTTTTTCTTCAATAGAAAAGTATAATTTCAAGAAATCATCAGATAAAGAACCTATACCATTATTTTGAAATTGTTGCCACATTTTTTCAACATTTTGTTTTTCGTCAATTGTCATCATAGGATTAACAATGGTACGACTTTTAAAAGTTCTAGTTTCGGCAGTTATTTCGGAGGAAGGAATTTGTCTAGTAACTCTTAACATACTAACAGGACGAGAATCTGAAGTTTCAACAAAAGTTCTTATTCTTTCTCTTGAAGTTGTAATTTCAGTTGTTTGAGCAAAAGTTACAACAGATTGTTTACGAGATCTAGTATTAGGAATTTTAGGAATTTCATCGACAGTAATATCAGGTAAAGGATGTTCAAAATAAGCAGAAGTGACAGACATTTTACGATATTCTACGTAATTATCTAGTAATATAGTTAAGCGTGGGTTTAGAGGTTCAGGAGAAGAATAATCTAGTTCACGTAAGTAAGCAAGAAAGAGGTGAAGGCAAGCACTTGAACATTTTCTCCATTCTGAATAAGCGGTATCAAAATTTTGCAAAGAATTCTCTTGATCACTCAATATGCAAAGAGCTAAAGACTTTACTATTCTTTGTACCGACATTTTATTAATGTGAGATTCAGCAGTAACTTGAGAGCAAACTTCAAATAGTTCCGTAAGAATTTCTTGATTTTGTTTAGGAAGGTAACAAAGGAATTGCTTGAAGGAACCTTTGCCTGGATCATAATCCCACTCTAATTATAAATAAAAGGTTGTAAATACAAAAACATAGCTATACATTTTGAATAGTATATATACATACATATATATATATATATATATATATATTTATATATATTTATAATTGATTTATTTATTTACCTTGTTCATATCTAACGAATTCTTCATAATATTGATAAGGAACAAGGGCTGTAGAACTATGCCTTAAAGCCCATTTCATTGCTGATATAACGTTATGAATACTTTGTTCTTTGACCTCTTCCTCAAATTGGGTACGGTCCTCTTGCAACATTAAACTAATAAGACGCCTAATATTTTCTATACTATCACCTATGCGGACGGGTTTGAAAATATCTATTTCGTGTAAACCTATAAATATGCAATGCAAAAATTAAAATTACATTAAAACAAAAAAAAAAAAAAAAGAAAGATAACCAAAACAAAGAGTAGATAACAAACAAACCTCTTGCTCTTACTTCATCGGCACATCTCTTTACTATTAAATGAACTTCTTCTAAAGATACAAACTCTGCAACATCTCTTTTTGCTTTTTTTGTAGTCATACTACGTTTTAAACTTCCACCACCCTTAACCAACCCATTTTTGCTCAAAGTTCTAGTCAAACTATCTCTCTTCTTTATTAGTGAGAGCCTAGCACTGCGAAACATCACTTAATATATATCACTATTACGTATTATAATATGTATTTTAAAATAAGAAATTAAAGTCTAGCTTCAAGGCAGAGAGATCACGGCGAGGTGTGCTTTCGTCAAGTCAGTAATTTATAAAAAGTTCCAATAATCTTTGACAATATAGATTCAATGAGTATATAAATGGAATTTATGAAAATTTTTTTTTTTTATACATATAGATATTTATTATGACATTCTTTGTTTTTTTTTGTACGCGTATAACAAAGCGAGCACAAGCGTCAACGAGCCTAAGATCGATTTTGTAGCAGTTGTGCAAAATTATATATTAATTGGCAGATTAGCTGTACATTTTGCATAAAAAGTGTAAGGTATTTCTTATGCATAGTAGTACCGTTTTAAGTTTCTTAAAAGTTATTTATTTATAAAACGGTTTATTCATATAATTTAACGAGTTAAATTACGAGTTAAATTACGAATTAACTAGACTAGTTAGATCATCTGTTGCTATACATATATGAATGCTAAGTGAAAATCCTATTTTCTTTTTACATATATTTTCTTTTATATAATTCAGTATCAGTATATCTTTGTACGTACGTATCTCCCTATTCACCAATTCTATCTTAATTATAATTTATATTTTTAGTTTTGATTTTCTCTTTTTTTTTCATATTATTTAACTAAAAAAGCAAGGTTATATTCTTATATCGATATGGTTTTTATGTTTATTTAAATTATTTGTTATACACGAATAACTAAACCAATAAAAGAAAGGTAAACAATTTTAAAGGTCAGTCGAAAGTCATTTGGAATAATAGGTAAAACTTTCTTTTAGGTTGATAGGTGCATTAATACCCAAGTTAGTCTACCTATAATTAAAGGTCAAGAACGAAGTAAAAATAAAAAAATACAAATCTGCATAAAACTAATGTAATAATTTATAGTGATACCATTTAAAAAATGGCAATTGCATATATTGTTTGTAATTTAACACTTTCATTGTGTATCCGTATCAGTATAACAGTATAAATATAAAGTACGTACTGTACGTACGTATGTACAGTACGTACTTACATACGTACTCTAATAATGTTACATATTTGTCATATTACTGAAATATTCGAAATCCATTTTCGGAAGTACATGCGGTTTATTATTTAAACTCTTTTCAAAGACTTTCTTCGATCGTGTAACGGCGCGATTTAGACTCCGTGATACGTGGCTCGGAGTAATTTTCTCAATTTGCCGTAATCGATTTTCCAAAGTTACTATAATAAACAAATAAAAACTATAATAAAAATGTAAATAAAAATAAAAATATAACATGATTACTGTAATAAAATTCTTTATACGTTTCAAAGTGAATAATGTGTGTTCAAAAAATTTTCATAGAATTATATTCTTTATGGATGAAAACTTTCCTGACAAAAACTGACGGGTGTCATCCTTTGAGAGATAATCAGGGGTTTCCAAAATTATCTACTTGGTGACTTATCAACCAATCTTTCATGCATTCTAATCCTATTTTTTTTTTTAAAAAAAAAAAACCATGTGGAAACTGGTTTCATTTACTGTTTAAAAAGGAATTTAATAATACTAATAATTGATAGTATATAGTGCATATATTTTGAACCACTCATTCTATTCGGTCACCGTTTTTCGTGTTACAAATATTAAGAAATTGCATAAATTATATAAATTATTCGGCTTTTCCGATCAAACCTAAGCCTAAGCCTCTCTAAGCATTAGCCTTACTAAATTAAAATAAGTTTTATTTTATTAATATAGATAGATCGCTAGTGAAATAAATTTTTATTTTTTTTTTGTTTTAAACTATATATTGTTTTCCTAAATTAATTTTTTCAATTTTATTTTAACTTTACGAAGGGTTTGTTGATTTTCATTTCTGTATAATCAATTAAGTGCCATTGTGTTCCTCTCATCGATAATATCGAATTAAAAAGTATCATATTTGTTTATATAAGCATCTACCAAAAACATTAAGCATGTCTAAGTAAATAAATCCAAACCATTAATATATCGAAAAAAACTGGCATCAAATACTAATTCTTATTTGTGTAACAGACACACGATTTAGTTGATTGGTTAGTGTCTGTCGGTATTTTTTTTTCCGTCAATTAAAAATTGGCAGGAGTAAAGATTTAGGTTGCTACAATTATACATTTGCATACATCGCCAAGAAACAATTAATTGGTTTATATATTGAATATTTTGATATCACGATATCTTATCTGATAAATCATGTGGTTTAGGTTTAACGAAATAGCATTAGATTTTACTATTATAGGATTGAAAATTTTTAAGAGAAAATCGTTGAATTAATAAGATTTCTCTTCACAATAAAACAAAAGATGTCTCTTTAAATATATAATTGACATACAATATTATTTAAAGTATTACAAGATATACATAACTATTTATTAGAAAGATTGGCTTTTAAAGAATTTCATTATTATACTCACATGTCAATAACTAAAAAATGATTAATTTTAGAAGATATATCGGCAAATATGTTCACAAAATTCATTTACAGTACGTAAAGAATTCTTTTTTTAAAAAAAATAATGATCTATGATCGAAGCAAATTAACTTGTTAAATTAGGTTGTCTATAACAAAAACAATCATTATGTGTGTCAAAAAGCACAATGAAATCGAAAATATTTAACCCACTAATATTTTAAAATTTGCTTATAATTGAATCCTAATTTTTAGATATGGTATAGATGTAATGCAACTATCTTACTACTGGTTCAACTTTGGACCAATCCTAGTGCCAAATCACATATCATAAAAAAAATGATTGGAGTAACTTTTTTTAAAAAAGATTTACCGAGTTTATCTCGAAACACTCTTCGAAACACTTATGATTGAAGTAACAAATCACCACATTTTTATAACGCCACAAATTACACATTAAATTCTTGTACTCAAATTCGGTGTACACTCTATTCTATGTTTTTTTATTTCATACCGAAAATGTATACAATAGATAACATTCATTCGATTATTGGACTTTATAATCTGTCACGTCGATTGATCGATTTATGTTAGAATTTCCTTTTGCCTTTTTACTATATTAGCTAAATTTATTTTTATTCTGTTATCTAAAATATTAAGATACATAATTTAGTCTTTAAATTTATGATTTTTTATATATTATGTATATTATACTATTTATTTAACTTTCAATTAGTTATGGCTATATTTAATTTACCTTTCTGATACATGCAACTATTTAATCGAGTTAAACCTTTCTAAGGTTTAGTATAAATGTTTAATTATTATCTTAAATTGAGGGCTACTTTTTATACCTTTTACGTTTGCATTTATACCCTCTAGAAAAATAAAAATTTTTAAACCATTGAGCGAAGATATCCTGACAACCACTTGGGGCATCCGTTAAACCAGTACTGCATTGTATAGAAATAGAGACCTTGAAGATAATACCATATAATATTATTTTGTATAACAATACCGGTTTAACGTAAATTATGGGTGCCCCCTTGATCAAATTTAAGTTCTTATTTTAGTAATCAACGCTAGATCGATTTATTATTTATTTATTATTTTCTATTTAGCAATATGGTAAAGGACATGATTCGACAAATAAAGAAATTACTAACAAATACATTCTAAGTAGTTATACTTAGTTGACAAATTTTTATAAGTTATTAACCATAAAAAAGTATTGAAAAAATTAAAATAATAATGAAACTGAATAATTTTTTTTGCAGATTTATTACCTGATTAAAGCATTTAAATAAAAATGATTATAAGTCAAAAAATATTTATAATTGTTTATTTTTATAGCATATTATTTAAAGAATAGTAAAATCAATTTTATATAAATTGTAAGATTTATATCATTTGGTTAAAGTATTAAGAATACTATAATAAAAATAAAAATTTTAAAATACAAGTTTAGATAAAATGAATTGACCATTTTTACTAACTATTATTCAAATTTTAATTATAAAAAAATATAAATATATGCTTTTTTTATTGTTAAAGAGTTGATAAACGGAACTAAATAAGAATTGAATCCGATTTTTCAGTGTAGAAGAGATGGAGGAACCTACCCAGTATCGCCACCAAAATTAGGTGCGTATGTACAGAACTTAAATTCATTCACCGATTATAAATATATAAATAGTAATAATATACCTTATCTCTTTGAATATCAATATTTCTAAGCAGAGACAACCTATCTTACATGTAATCATTATTTGTCTTGTCGAATGATGAATCTTCAAATAGTAAAAAAGAAAACATGATTTGAGTGCTTATTATTTTCTCTGGATATTTTTATAATATTATTAAGTATTACTAAAGTTGCAACTTAATTTATTGAGAAATCCAAAAAAAATTTGATGTTAAATATAAGAACTAAGTCTATAGTATACATAAAAATGAGGATTACTTTATTAAAAATCGTAAATTATATTAACGTTACGTTAAAGATTCTGGATTGATATTCAATTCAAAATGTCTTAAAATCGAACTTGAGTGTTAATACATTTTAACAATTTATTGTCCGAAGCGTAGCGAGGACTTACTATGGAGACTTGGGTTCCGCTTACGTGATACATGTCCAATCAAAATATAACAGATCAACACAATATGGAAACCCCGTAAAAATATAAAAATAAAAGCTTATCTGTTTCACCTGTTTTACCAGTTTAGACGTAACCAGATTCAATACTTTACAGAAACCCATAAATTGCTTAAATATAATTATAATATAATTAAACTTATTTTTATTATATTTTTAAAATATTACTATAATTACTAGACGAGGCACAATTTATACAATATATATATATAGTATAACATATATATTCATAATAAAAAAAGATAGTATTTATAATTGATTTATATAATGAAAAAATCAGTATTAAGAGTTTATATAATATTATTATAGATTCATTAATTGTATCATTATATAAATGGTTTCTTTTAAGTGTTAATAATCATAACATGCAAAATTAATTTT